GCCATACATCACAGTAGGTCTCACTACCATCTTGTAAAGCTTTGTTTTCACTCTTGCTGCTGTCTTTCTGTCACAAATCACACCTGACACTGGTCTCCATCCACTCTACCCTGACTTGACCCCAGGTATTAAAACTTCTCTACCTTCACTACCTCAGCTATTTGCATGCTTACCTATTCACCTTTCTCCCTCTCTTTCACAGAGGTATTCTGTCTTGCTTCTACTGACTTTCATTACTCTTCTCTCTTAGTTCATACAGTCACCTATCCAGGCTCTCTTCCAGCTGCCACGTACGCTTACTACAGATCACAGTATCGTCTGCAAACATGACAGTTCACAGAGACTCCTCCCTGGCCTTATCTGTCAGTCTGTCCATCACTACTGCAAACAAGAAGAGGCTCAGGTGGATCAGACGATCCGATCCCACCGTGAACCCAGTGTCACCACTGGCTCACTGCCCTCATACATGTCCTGCACCAGCCTCACATACTTCCCTGCTACCTCTGACTTCCTCATAGAGTACCACAGTTCCTCTGTATCGTTTGTTTTCTCTAGATCCACAGAGACAGAGTGAAGCACTCTCTGACCTTCTCTACACTTTTCAAAGAAGGCATCACATCTGTAGTGCCATACCGCTGCTAACTTATCATCAGCTTTGTTCTTATCCTAGTTTCCACAACTGCTTCCCCTTTTCTTAATGATGTGGCTCACCAGCTTTAATATTTTTAACACTTAAAATAATCATTTTTTTTTAAAACTGACATTTTCAAACTGACTTTACGCTAGAATTTTTACTTTAACTAATATAAGACATATTTTGTCTAATGTTAACGTGACGACAAATAAATCTGATGATGTCAGAGAGAATAAAATGACATTAATTATTCCTGTTAGGCATACTCAAGGTCGTTATCACCAAGTTATCCAGCTAATTGATTTACATTTGAGTTACAGATCAAATATAATCAGAACATGGGTTCGTTTCAGTTAACTTCAAAGTAGGAACGTCGTTGTGATGTTAGCGGCTAGCTACTTAAACACACTTTAAGCAGCCTGACAGCTGCCGTGTCTAAACTTACTCACTGGGATAAGGTGTATCCTAAAGCTAGGGAATGCACATTTGTTCACTGAATTTCCAAACTCTACCTGCAGCAGCGTCAGTTTTTTCAGCAGGTATCGTTTCATCGTTTGCTACTTTGCTACCAGTGGAGCTAACTTTAGCATTACTGACTTCCTCAGTTGCTCCTGTTGTTACCGAGAGCCATATTAAAGACGACCGAGCAGCTGACATTCATCCCCCTTCAGAGATAAACTTACCTTTGAACAGGTAGTCGTATTCATCGTCTCGGGCTCCCATTTTAGAAGACTTATTTTTTTAAACTTTAACAACAACAATAACAACAACAAGCTTCTCCACCAGCAGGTAACAACCAGCAGGCACCGCCTTCTAGGAAGAGGAAAGGCACGTGAGTTTTGCAACTTAGAGTTAGGCCAATTGAAAAGTTAATCTCATTGACTGACAGACAAATCCACCAATCACATGAGTTCTTTGAAGACGCTGGCCAATCATCGTGTACCTTGAAAACACGACTACCATCGCAGCCTTTGTTCTCCTAATTTGGATGCTCGGAGCCTTCAGAGCTCGTTGACGTACCCCCCCTCTCCACCCCCTACACACACACACACACACACACGAGAGAGGTATTTTTTTCTTGTTTTGAAGTAAAAAGTATTGCACAATATACACCAAGACGGAAAGACTATACTACACTGTGCTAGAAAAGCAGGATATACCATCTATTATTGTTATACCATGTTCACATTCATATATTTATCTTTTATCTTTTTCATTTACGTCATTATAGTTGTAGGTAACTATAATACCCTGGTCAGAAATGGTTTAATTGTACCCGAGAGGATGTGGCCAACACAGGCAGCTGGTGATGCAATTATTCTTGTTCTTACAATTAGAGAAAAAGCTAGATTTGAGATTACACTCAGGTGTGCCTGTATGTCTGTGGTCATTGCCTGTGGCAGAGATAATGTTCTACTGATACATTATATTTAAAGGGCTGGGCTAAAGAGGTTAAAGGGATTATCTCGAATGAGATCATGTGGCTTTCCTAGCTTTCTGCTTTTGCATGTGCAAATTTACAGCCTCTCCTGCAGTCCTACAGCCATTTTCATGGTCTTAGGAAAACGATGTTAAAGCATTGTGATCCAGAGCAAAAATATCAGCCTCTTAGATTTACTTTAGTTATTTACATTACACATTTTGGTTGTTTCTTCTGATAAAACTTTGAAGTGGCACCACCAAGTGGCCATATTTATAGCACTCTACAAAAACAACAACCAATGTCATGCTTACAGAATTAATAATGTGAGACTTCCATTCAGCTTTTAGAACTGAAGAGGCCATTCGGATGAGAGGTGAAATGCCTTTAAGTTGTAAAAAAAAATCTGACATAGACAATACTCTAGATGCTGGACGGGTCACATTTCAGGTTTCCCTATATGTTTTGTGGCCTCATACAGGAGTTCTTAAAAACTTTGTCCACTGACCAGAACCAAGCCACTAAAGGATTTGCATGGCCGGGTGAATGACTTTTTACAATGTAAATATTGCAAAGGAAACATTGTGCTGCTAGCAACTGTTTTATCTGAGCCAGAGGTCTGAGTCATTGTTCGGTTTACCGCCTTGTTACTGACAAAGACATTACCCATAGTCTTTTTACTACCAAGCAGAAATATGGTGCTTAAGCCAAGGAGTCATGTCAGTGCATTTCTTTGAATCATCGCTGTTTCCAGTCGTAAAGCTGAGACATGTTTTTTCTTAAGAGAAAGTTCATCATCAGTTTATATAAATGGACTGTTCACAGGATATTGTTTTCAGTGACAAGTTTGGCATGTTTTTTTAAATAGGTTAAGATAAAAGTTACGTGGAGATCAAACTGGGCAGCATGTGACCCATGAATTAAAATGTTTTTGACTCTTTATTTCTTACTAATGATTTGTGGAGTCAGACACAGAGGTTTATGTGGTAAGTTTCTCCAGTGGCCATGTTCAAAGTTTCGTTTCCATGTCACATGATTATTTTGCCAGGACTGTCAGAGAAGCTAATGCAGGGCATGTTGAGGTGCACTGTAGGAATGACAGATGGGTTCCACATGGGGGTGGGATTACTTCAGGGATCAGCTCTGAGGCCCCTCTTGTTTGTGGTGGCAATGGACAAGTTGACAGACGATGTCAGGGAAGGGTTTCTGTGGACGATGATGTTCGTAGATGACAGTGACAATAGAGAGGAGGTGGAAGAGATTCAGGAAAGGTGGATGTTTGCCCTAAAGAGGAATAGAAGGCAGTAGAAGCAAGACAGAATAAATGTAAATAAGGGAGATGGGTGTAACAGTGAAGATGCAAGGAGTAGAGGTAGTGTAGATAGTTGAGTTTAAATACCTGGGGTCAATCATCCAAAGCAGAGAAGTGAGAAAAAGTGTACAGGCAGGGTGGAGATGAGTGTCAGGATTTATTTGTGACAGAAGGATAGCAGTTAGAGTGAAAGAGAAGGTTTACAAGATGGTAGACAGAGGTGGTGACACTGACAAAAGACAGGAGGCCGTGTTGGAGATGGTAAAAATGTCATGATTTTATTGGGAGGGACCAGGATGGACAGGATTAGAAGTTAGACCAGAGGGACAACTGAGGCTGAGGTGTTTGGAGACAAAGTTAGAGAGACGAGGCTGAGATGGTTCGGACGTGCGCAACAGTGGATATGTTGGATGAAGGATGATGAATATGGAGCTGACCGGCAGGAGGAAAAGAGAAAGACCTCAGAGAAGCTTCACGGATGAAGGAGGACATGTAGAGGGTTGGTGTTACAGAGGTGGATGCTGTGGTTATGGTGACATGGAGGCAGATGATCCAATGTGGTCAAACAGAGCCACCAAAAGAAGAAAAACCACCCAACGAAGAACCAACTAAAACACATCATCTCCACGGACAACAATTCATAGAACTGCTTTATTTCGTATTCATTCTGATTGAGTCCAAACACACGCACACACAGTCATCTATTTATCCTCGTGTATAAATAGATGAATTTACACAGATATACATAAATACACATTTCTGATATGCATATTCATTTTGATATCATGCTATGTCTCTGTAAAGGACTCTCCCTATTGGATGAGGGCACACAGGGATTTGAAAACACACACGACACAGCTGAACAGTTGGAAGAATCCCTATTGATCTGCATGTACATTAAACCCCACAAATCTTTCGGTTTTGGATATCATACAGAGACACAGCCGTGGTTCGCAAACCATAAATATACAGCAGCTGCATCTCAATAAACACACTGAAGAATATGGTACAGTAAAATCATGTAGATTGCAATCATTTCTTGCCCAGCAGCAAAAATGAAACCAAATAAAAATAATATTTTCCCGATTCAAATGGAAAATATATTTGTATATCTTTATATATGTATTTATAGTTTTATGTACACATTCTCGGGAGCACAACTATGAGAACGAAAAATAAATATTACAGCACAAGTGGAAAAAAAATATAAACAACAGACCTATATGTAAAATTTCCTAATAAGGCAATTAACGTAAAAGCTTAACTGTACAAAATATTGCTGCTATGGTCTTCATCTGATGAACAACAGCAAACTGATTACAACTGGCCACTGCACGTCATGAGAACAAACCGATTCTTATTTTACAACAGCTGACATTGATGTAACCTCCCTTACACACAAACACACGTAAAAAGGTACCAACGAACCGAAGAAACTGCCTGTAGTTAGTTTAAAAAACCCAAAAAAACCTTCAAATCTTTAAGATGTCAGCCACAGAGAGACTACAGTAAACACTAAATGTACAATGACTTTGATTGATGTCACAGACACATGTGCACACACACACAAACCTAAAATAAATACTGTCCAAATATCAGCACGTGCGAGCAGAGACTCTTATCTAAGAACTCGAAAATATGACTTCTGGATAATGTGACGAGTGTTTATTTGGCCTCTACCACTAGTTCGTCTTCAGGTCCTTTTAATGAGCGCAAACGACATTCAACCCATTCACAAACTGCTGTGTCTCACCAAGCCAACACGCACTGCGTTCACTGGAATATACAGGTAACGGCTACGATATCGACCGCAAACACTACAACTGGTGCTCTACATCTACAAACATTGGAAAGATTCCCCGATTTTCTTGACGCGAGGAGGTGATGTAGAAAAAAGTAACTGATATGCTGATTCTGCTGTTACAAATGATCCCTGTGCGTCGGTCCGAAAGCAGGGCAACACTGGAAGACATTGTGTAGACGTGAAAATTACTCTAATGACAATGTCTGCTGCCTTAGTGTTGTAATTGACGCCTTCTATTTTGAAGGCAAGAGTCATCACCCTCAGCTATTGGAACAACATGTGGTGTAGTGGAAAACAACACTGGATTAGACAACACGTGAAAAAGAGAACAAAATACCGCAGTGAAGAAAATGAGCAAAACAAAAACTAAAAGTCTTTGGATGCAAATGGATAATAAAAAAAAATGAGTGAAAAGTACCAGTCGTGAATATTACAATCAAATACAAACAGACAAATAAATAAAAGTTCACAGTAGTAAAAACAGCTGAAGAAAAGTTTAGAAATGAAAATATAACAACAGGACTTAAGTTTTAATAATGCTGTAGATGAATATGTTTTTGATTTTTTTTTAAAGTTAAACTGCATATTTTCACTACTTTAAAGGATGACAGAGATATCTGGATGTTCTGCTTTGATTGGCTCAAAGTGGGCCCTCCAACATCACGGGATACAGAAGAGTAATCCACTGCCTCAGGGGAAAAAAAGGAAGAAAAAGCCCTATTTAGCCAAGTTATGTCAGGCTATGGTGGCTGCCTAGTAAGACGTACTTTTGCACACTTGGTTTTGCAAAAATCTTTTAGCATCAAACTGTTCTGAATTTTGTGATGATGACCTCTGGTAAGATTATCATGGAAAAGCAGACACAGCTAATTAACTTCAACAGCAGCGGCATAATGGAAATGGGCACCATACTGGCAGCAATTACAACCACTGAGCTGGAGATTTCCTTCGAACTGGTTGGAAACACAGCAGCCAGTGCAGTCACAGGATGACTGATATGTTCCAGTCTAAGGTAATTGCACTGGAGATCATTTTGAGATTAACGAGTTTAATTTCATTTTTCTTCAAATTAGGTTTCCTTACTGGGAGAAACTACTTTATATGCTCCTAGTTCTGGATGTGCCATTCATTTTCTTTATTAAGAACCGAAGGCAGTAGTAGCATTAATATAGCTTCATTAAAGCCTCGCTACAAAAGATGAACAGTTGCTTAAAAATGGAAAACTTTAATACTTTAAAACTTAGAGGTACATTTCTATAAGGAGCATCCACTCAATTTAGGATTTTTTAACCCGTATTTGTGTCATGGATCAATGTTTTAATGAGCTTCTTGTGGTTTTGTTTGATCACAGAACCCAGGAGATTACTGCTGGCTAGTATGTGTGACCGCTTTGCAACATAAAGGATATCACGAATAAAAATGACTTTAAGAGATTCGTCGGGAAAGAGTCAGTTGGAGGGCTGTGTTAGTGTGAAACAGAACAAAAAGTAGGTTATCGTGGTCTTTTGGGTGTGTCAAACATACAAGACTACATACGGCCTTATGCGCACTATGTCACACATACAATTATTTATTAAACTGATGTAATAAATTTCATTTGTCAAAGGGTGAAAGGCAGGGATGGTTGCAAACCAGTGATATCATCACTGTCAGGGTTTTTTTCTCCCTCTGGTACTCTGGTACAGTCACTTTTTCATCTCAGTGTGTTTCTGTATGCATGTTTTTAAATCCTGGTTCAGACAGAGATCGCGCTGCCGCCACTGAGGTCTGGACTTCAGACTGATGAGTCCTCTCCGCTGAGACGTTCACTCCTGTCTGCCAGAAAACAGGATTTACTGTTGGGAGACAGACAGACTGAGTTAATGCATTCAGAAGAGTGAAAATGTTTCATTTCCCCCCTGGGTATACAGCCTGTAAACTCTCATTAATTATTTGGAAATGATAAATAAACACCGAGCCATCAAATCAAAGTGCAGCTACAGATGAAAAGCAAACAGGAAGCCAGGACAGTGAGCTCAGGCAGAGTTCCTTAACAGCAGGTAAAGGCAGGTATAAAAAAAATAAAATACTTTTTACAGGCTACGGCCGTCTGATTAGTCTGATTTCCCAGCAATAATCCCACATATAGTAAATATTTCTTGTATCTTCTAGAAACCACACTTTTTTACCTGGACTGTCTAAACAATCCCAATCAAACTATGATACTTTCTACACTTTAGCTCATGTTGCTCACCAGCTGACGTACAAGTTTTAAAGTTTGAAACGGCAGTTTTTTTGTTAGTTTGTTTGTTTACCAATGACATAACCTTTCTGGATTATTATAATTATGACCGGTTGGGGACTGGCTGCTGGAAGGTGAAATCTGCAGCGAAGAGGATACTGAAAACCTCCTTGTGATTGCTGTGGTTGGTAGTAGATTGCCATGGTTGCCCATAGTTTGCATAGGAGACGCTGACTTGCATGTAAATTGTGAAGCTGAACAGGAGTGAAATTTGAAAAAACGAGAAACGGAGAAAGTTCGCCTTCAGTTTAAAAATCGCTTCATATTGCTACAAACAAAATGCTTCCAAATGTGCAACTTTGACAGCAAAGAGTCTCCATTTCCGTCTTGCATCGGACTTTTCACAGTTTCACGACCACTCGGCGAGCAGTTGGCGACCGTTTTCACACGTGCCGGCGTCTTCGCTGCAAACTACAGGTGATTTCTGGAATCTGCTAATGATCAACGCAATCACACAAGTTTTCAGTGCAACACCTTATTTCACTTAGTGCTAGCAACCTTCAGCAACCCCTCATCAACTGATTGGGGATAAACTATTTTGGCAGACTGTTAAACTGAATTGAACTGAGCTGAATTTTCCCTAGCGACTGCTTGTTGCTACGGATTCGCTGACTGGTCTTTAGCCTATAGGTATGACTGAGGCTTTATATGCAGCTGATGGGGTCAAAATCTGTCAGTAGAGCATTGCTGCTCTTCATTAGACAATGATGCTGCATTTTCAGTCACATGACTCTAGTCACATGATGATGTCACACTGATGGAGTGTAATTGGCCAAATTATACTGACATCTTACGTTTACAATAAGAAAGTGGAGCTCTGTGTTGTATGAGCTGTTGATTTTTGTTTTCTGCCTTTTTAAAAAAAAAATAGTAGATTTGTTTATGTTTTGTCATTTTTTGGGGGTGGGGCTACTTAGTAAAGAAAGGTCTAGCGTGAGAAGCAGATGGAAAAACAAAATGAGGAAAAAAACAGATTAATGTCGCTTTTGCATTAAAGCGACATTAACAAAGTAGACTGGCTCACAAACACCTCGTAAAGTTAACAAACCCAAACTAAAGTGACCTAAACGCCATTCTGACTTTAAATTTGCATAAGTTTGAGTGACTTATTTGTCTAATTTACATAACTGTTAAACTCGGTAGTATTTAAATATAAACTTAAACCAGAAAATAAACTCGTTCCTCATAAACTCCTCATAAAACCGGGTTTTGATGTTCAATAAATTGCAACTTGTCAGGTTAGTCTAAACGGCTTAAGCAGAATGAGCCATGGCGGTCTGGTGACACATGAGCCGATGGATGTGTGTGTTAAAGTCTGAGCAGCTTGTTGTTGGAGGGACGCGGGATGGCTAAATGATCACAGAGGCAGTCGATGACCATTTCCACCCGTTTGTCAATGAACAATGAATGCTGTAATGTAGGAGTGGCTTTCTGGACGCAGACCGAGCGTACTCTTGAAATAGTAATGGACTTTGGGACCTGAGAAGCTTTGCCTACATTTACTGTAGCAGCTTCGTGCAGAGTGTAGCGTTACAGCTCATCCTTCCCTAAGAACAAACCCAAACATGGTCCCGAACAAATTTCATTCCACTTCTGGGGGGAACTTTCTGTGCTTCATATTTTAGTCCGATGCATCTCACTTACTGTCTCTCTTTCCCAATCCCCATCTGGCAGGGCCTTAGACTCTGAGCCATAGTGTAGCGGAGAGTACACCCAGGTCCTGTCCTCTGGAGGCTGTTTTTACACACCCACCACAGCAGAGGGGGCCAGAGGGACAGAGGAAAGGCCAGAGGCACAGAGACAAGCAGCAGGGGCAGGCAGGAGAGAAAGACACAGGAGATCACAGGAGAAAAGACAAGACAGGAAATGAAAATTAGGGATGCATTAAGGAGGAATGTTGTTGAGACATACTGGAGAGTGTGAACGTTGAAAGTGTTTGGAAGGATGTGTTCATCCTGGCTGAATTGAACATGATGTTAATATCTTATACAAAAACAAACCAAAAAAAATGCTGTAAACATGTAAATATTAAGATGAACCTCAGTGATGTGTGCCTGAATCCCATGTCTTGGTGTTTTGTAACATTTGGACTAAGTCCTGGGGAGCAAAGCAAGGGATGAGTTGCTAAATCATCCAAGCGGGAAGTATGAGGAGCGAGAAGGAGGAGATGGGAATGGCGAGCGGGGGGGTAGCCAGGATGCCGGGACATTCAGACACAGACACAGAAAGCATCCTCGTCAAAGAAAAGCAAGGGAACAAGATGTCTTTTTCCCCTTTTCCAACAAGCAAACATGCCTTTTGTTTTATGTTGTTGTTGTTTGTTTGAACTCAGTGTTGTTTAGAGTCTCTAAAAAGTCTCGCCATTATCATTCTCAGGGTACCAGCCCTTTAAGATAGGGAAGCCGCTGCAACACGGCAACAGGTAACAGGGATGGAGGTGGATGTCACACGCTCACACGCTTGCACGTGTATATTTACACACACACAAAGCTCAGCACATTGCAATAAACACACTAACTACACAGGTGCAAAGAGAAACAAAGCAAGCTGTCAGTGAGTGAGGAAACAAATACTCAAAAGAAGATGAAAATAAAGGAAACTGTCAAATAAGAAGCTTCCTGTCACTTTTTTAACCTGCTGAGAACAGGTTTTGTTCTTTAGTGTCAACATGATCACAAAACAACACAATCAGTTGATAAATCACAAGAATCACAACAATCCAAAAAACCTTGTTTCCTCTCAACACAACAACGGGAACAGCTACTGTTACAAGGCCACTGCTGTCTAACTTATATCTCACTTACTGGCTGACCAGACTGGCATTTCCTCCTTTGTCGGAAAGGAGAGACCACCCAGGTCCTCCCATCAGGAAACTGACAACAGCAGAGGTACATGACAGATGGACAAACAAAGACAGATGAAAAGCTGAAAATAGGGTGGAGGGGGACACGGGGCGAGGAGGGAAACTCAAAATAAAACACAGACGATAAAAAAAAAGGAAGCATGCTGGGGTGAAAATGGAAAAGGCACGGATACACTGGATAAGTCGATGGTCACAGCTAGATTCACGTGTTTGGCTGCCGCCTCTGTTTTCATTTCCCGCTTGCATACAACAACACCATCTCGCCACTTTCATTATGGCTTCTGAAGAAAATCACAATAATGAGAACATGTGAAATAAGAGAGAGAGCATGGAGGGAGTAAACAAAGGATGTGAGGTGGAAAGGGAATGGCAAAAAACTGAACGCTTGAGCGAAGAGGTGTAACGGGTTAATGGGGTGGACGTGAGAGGCGACAGAAATGAGAGTGGGCAAAAGAAGAGAAACAAACATATGATGTGAGTACGGATGTGAATCCTAAAAACTAAACTCCCAATCAATCTCTTCTTTTCAGTCTCGCAGCTGTGCTGTTTTTTTTAATGGGGACCTACATAAGCTTAAATGCTGACAAATCTTCAAAATTCAGACATATACTTAATTTCCATCTCTGGAAAATCTACATTTTAAAACCATTAAATTGTTCCAGCAGCTTGATAGACTATTAAACAGAGTCTTGGGATGATAAACTGGGTTTTTATGCATCACAATTCGCTCGTCCT